AAATAGCACTTGTATTTGTTGGCAGTCGACCTTGTTACATATGTAATAATTCGGTTTTTATGTATCAACCTGATGTACGCTTGTGTTGGTGATATACAACATCGTTATGAATCCGACAAGACTAGGCTTTGTACGTATACATCCGCAATTCACAATGTTGCTATTTTGTAGTGTAGTTCAAAATCTGGTGTTCTAGTATGTCTTTATTCCCATTAGCAATCGATCAATGTCTAAAATCGAGAGTTTGAGGTCAGACTTGAGGTGTAAATAATGTATAGTTTGCGTTTCATTTTATTTCAGAATTGGTTTGCAATAAGGGGTTTGGGTGCCGTACGAATCCCTTTTTCAAACAGAGAGCTGCATTTGCATTCATGATACTTTCAGACTCTGGTATAAAAGATGAACACTGTAAACGTATGTCTGTTCAGCTGTCTATACAGTTCGGTACCGATGGGAGGAGTAAGGAACCAAGTGTTTTGTCAAACGGAGAAGTCTCCCAGGGTATCAATGCATGTTAAAACAGACAAAATACAACCATCACTATCATGTTTTATTAGCGTTATTTTGATGATTTTATATCTACATAGTGAATGTGGTTTCCTGTAACATGTTGAAATGTTACCGGGTTTTTCTTCAAGAGAAATCAGCAGCACTTGAGTGATGATTTTATGATTATCAAATATCGCTTACTTAAAATGATCATTTCAACTCACTGGGAATTCACACAAGACTGTTAAGTGTTAAACGCCTGCGTGCCTGGTAATTACAGACAATTAATTGTTAAACAGTTTGATGCTAACGTTGTGAACGTAATGATAAAGTATGCTGGTATTGATCTTAAAGATACAATGTACATCTGTTACAACTGTAGTTGTGGGACATGTAAAATATCCAGTGTTTTACTTCAATATCTCTTACAAAATAAAGTATCCTGGTTTATTTATGAAATTGATATAACTGTTCATATAAGCGTATGCATTACCGAATACCGGACACCGGACTGTGAAATGGTTACGGTGTGGATATTTTGGGTAATGCTGAAAGCAAATGAGATAGTTATGGTGTGGATAGTATACGTAATGCTGCAAGCAAATAGGCCCTGACAAACTCGCAACGGTTGCGTTAGCGGGCTGTAAACCTTGGTTTACTGTGTGCCGACCCCTTAACATCCTTGAATTAGCCCGTGGCGTATTATGGGGAAACCAAGAGTGGAAAATCAAACACCTACAGAAATAGCACACAACAAAGAAAGGAAATGGTACAGATAAACTATTGTAATGGTGTCAGTATTGTCTCCTCAATGTCAGATTGGTACACACTTCGTTTAACCTCACACCTAAACTTTGGCTCTCTGGTGTCTAGGGAGACATCAGAGAAACCACACCCGAACTACAGGGGTTACCCTACAATTAGTCGGCGCCTCTTACGACAAGCAGGTAAATACTCTGTCCCCGCTCCTGAAAAGGCCCGCTTGGCTGTTTGCTAATGTGTTAGTAAAGGTAAAATAGTGTCATGAAATAAGGAATAGACATGATAACAAAATGACTGGATGAAAAGACAATTTCTACGCTGTTACATCTACGGTTTAAATGATGATGAAATAAGAGGAGAATAGATGACTGGAAAAAGAGTACAAGTTGACTTATATTTAAGTGAATGTTATTATGACCTAGATATTTGAACGAATAAACAACAGAAATAGATATGTATTGGATATAGAACCTAGAGCCGATTTGGAAAAAGAAAAATATTGTGGCGGAAAGTTAAGCTTAAATGATGTCTAGATATTAGAAATAATTGATGGATTGTGGAGAGCTGGGTTAATATTGCAGCTTACAAGTGACTGAGTATTGGGATTTTTTTAATGTTATAAGTGGATATGAAGAAATGTCTGTAGCAACTAAGTGGTGCGGTGTATAATGGTAAGTGATGGGGGGATGATCAGATATTACAAGTATTGTGCAAAACACAAAAAAGTGAATAAGACACTAAAACAGATATTCAGTACATTAACAAATAATTAATTAGAATTAAAAATACATGTTAATGAATATTTGTAAAGAGTGATAACAAAAATGCAAAAAACGTGATGGATGCAAAAACCAGGGTTGTGTGATGATGGACTGTGACTGGAAACCATACCAAATAACTAGCTAGATAGAAACTGCTACCGGATATCAAACTGTAACCGGATATCAAACTGTAACCGGATATCAAACTTTAACTGAAACCGGATATCAAACTTTTACCGGATATCCAATTGTTACCGGATATCACACTGTTACCGAATATCAAACTTTTACCGGATATCAAACTGCTACCGGATATCAAACTGTTACCGGTTATCAACAGGACATCACACTGTTAACAGATATCAAACTGTCACCGGATATCAACATGATATTAAACTGTTACCGGATATCAAACTGTTACCGGATATCAAATTGTCACCGGATATCAACATGATATTAAACTGTTACCGGATATCAAATTGTCACCGGATATCAACATGATATTAAACTGTTACCGGATATCTTAATGTTACCTGTTACCAAATTGTTATCGGTTATAAAAATTAAAAAGTGGAAGGTTGTCTATTAGAACAACGTACATTTTGCGGAAAAGAAATGCGGGCAAAACAAATGGGTTACTTCCATACTACACAATGAACTTAAAGGTAGTTCCGCTACATGATGAGGATTTCCTTCTCCGCCGCGACCAATGTAAAGGAAACGGGAAACAAGGAAAAAGAATCCAAAATATCTAAGCAGGTTATAGAAATTAGTCCTTTCATATCTCGGTCACACAGCTGTTTAGTCTTTGTGTCCATTACTATAGTACAATGAAATAAGATGTAGATATGCTAAGTCAGTACACTTCTAGTCTGTACCAAGAAAGTGTCGGTGTCTGTATATGTTTATAAAATCAAATTAAGAACACATTTTTGGAATGATAAGATTGCTGTCTTTTTCGATTTGTTTCATGTACCACTGAAAAATTAGAGCAAATGAATATTTTGTTTATAATCTTTTTAAAATATCATTATAAAATTATGAAATACATTATTAAAATGTGGGAAACAAAACATCATTTGGATGTATAAAAGATGTGTTTGCCAGTATTTGATAGTTATCGAAAGAACTAACTCATATGTTCTCAATCTTTAAAGAAGCCATACTTGACCGATTAATTGAAACCATACGCCAACATCTGTATGATGCAGTTAGGTTTCATAAGACAGAGACCATAAAACATCTTCTTTTTCTATAAAACTAATACAAATGATTATCGTTTCGAATGATTTCACAATGTACATGACAAACGATTACATGTTAAGCGTGTACTTGTAGATATGGCCCAGGACCAACAAGTACCGATGTTTTTTTCCACAATCCCAACAAATGACCACACCCATGATATACTGACACGAGCACGGACTACCAATAATGTCCGACTCGTTACCGCTATCACTGTTAATCATTTTATCTGTAGGTCCAACACAGTAGTACCTATTTGCTCTACAATCCCAGCTACTGTCTCAGACCTACAACAAACAACTTCTGATTAAGTTATCTAAGACATTCCGGGCTGTTGGTCTCACGCCATTACAGACTGACCCACCGTCTGCTAACTGGGATATTAAGTAGCGGTATGATGGTGGTGCTGGTACATTGAAGCCCCTACTCTGATCCCAGAGGTCCGTGTGATGCACCGCTCTAGAGCCTGCAGTTACAGACACTGCAAGAAGTGTAACGCTCACAGCAAGCAGCGACCATCTAGTGAGAATTGGAACCGATCGCATTGTCGTCGCTAGAATACACTTGAGCTACAAAGAGCGAGCGTGGAACGCCTGTATTGGTTTGGAGAGCTTTGTGGCCTACTCTACTTGAGTGGATGAACACTCTGTGTTATTGAGTCATATACACATTCTTTTTCACAGTAAACCAAGACGCGGGACGACATCAAAGTGTCTCTTTATAAACATCGATTTCGTTTTTTATATGGTTTACAAGCGTTACATTTGATGACAAATGACAAAATGTGAGAAATCGGATACATATTTCAATTTCGATGGATTTATAACAACTGACGCGTGAAAAAAATTAACTGATTCCATCTAATGGATTTCTATTGAGTTTTAAGTCAACAAAATTGAAGGTTGACTTGTGATCGTACCAGTTTACCTACTTAATCTGGCTTTATAACAAATAGCGATTTATATAAATATATATCGAAAACGAATTGAAATTTTATTGAATGGATGTGGAATCTGCAAACACTGTGTACGCTGATTAAAGCGATAATTGTGTATTCCTGCAGGTGACAAAATGGATATTAATTATGCAGATCATTCATATATATGTGAATCATAGGATAATATCTAACCGAGTGTCGAGTGATTTTCATAGCGTATGGTCACGGATGACAGTAAGGATTATAAGAGATATTGAGAAAGTTAATTAAATTCGCATTAAATATTCATAATTAAATAAGCGTAGAAACATATTGGTGGAGAAGGCTTACCTATCCGGAATGTTGGGAGCTGAAAGTGATGTGGTATCCACCCGAGACAAGTCACAAATCTACTGAGTGAAATGACTTCATGTAAAGAATATGTTTACGTGAAGGTCCGAAACTGATGTGGAATATCCTTTAAATCATCGATAGTGTGTTGAAATAGTATCTAGTGTAGAGAAGGGAACTGAAATGTTGGCGAGAACCAAAATAGTGATTGGAAACTCTACGCCAATATTGTTTGATATAAACTGATATCATACAATATTGCGTACAAAAGTTTTCAACAAACAAATTCATCTATTATATTGGAAAGTAATAACAGAGATGGTGCTATGTAATTACAATTTTGTCGACACCAAGAGCAAATGAATTACTACTAACACAGTTTGATTTGAGATACTCAGCAGTGTTATTTTCTCCACCACGATTCACTTTTGTCACCTATCCCGTATCACGATGATATGATATTGTTTTGAGGTGACATGTATATTTCAATTCGGTTGTTTGGTGTGGAACTACGGACCATGGATCTTATAGGACCACGATTGTGTTTTTCATATTGTAGAAGGATTTTTTACTTGTGTCTTACAATTTTCATCGCACTCGTAACAGGTAAGTCTTATTTAATAACGTTTCAATGTAGGGTTTTCACCTTTCTATTTCAGATATTGTGTTTAAAGGGGAAATCAGTATCTGATTGTAAATATATTTGTGGCGGATTATTAAACCACTTAAACAACACAAAAAAATGAAAAATTATTAAATCGTTGTAATTGGTATGATGTATTCCGTTTGTGTGGATTCAAGACAGATATTTACATAAATGACGTTATCTTGATAATGACGTTGATAAGAAATAAAAGCTACCTAAATGTGTTTTATAAATATGTTATAGCATATAAACAATGATTAGGTTTAAAATGATATTCATCCTGGTTATTGAGTTATCCATTCTAAACAAATTCCAAAGATTTGCCTGTGATAGCGTTTCATTTCATATCTTATAATTGTGTAAATTATCACTATTTTTAATGATTTCTCCTGATTGAAGAATGAAAAATAGAATACATCTGATTTTCGGATACATATCATCTTTGTGACATGACACGTGACCACACCCGATCTTACGTCACCGTTTTGTTGAGAGTGTAAGTCCGTTACACTCTACCAGTGCTGTAGTTACTCGGTCACGTGGTCAACATAAAGTCATTTTTTACCCACGATTTACAGTTGATATGATGATTATATCTAGGCAATGTCTGTCTCTTTAGGCTGGAGAGTTGTAACATCTGTCTTTATAGTCATAGAGAAACCGTAAATCATTTGGCAGTCATAAATGATAAAAGTAGCAACTTCGTCTAGTAAACGAGTAAAGCATTTCAAAATATGTTTTTTTTTCAGTTTTATTTTCAGATCGTGTTTGATCGTCTCTATTTCACAGACGGTGATTATCAGTGTAGTCTTTCTGCTCAGAAGCATTTGATTAAATAATTTCTAGAATGTTGATAAAAATTACTGCACTTTAGATCGATTTAAAACCAATATGTAACACGTATATCATTTAAACATACAAACTGAAGTTTGCATATTTACTCATAATTCTGAAGAAGAAACTTAAGTCGATGTTTTCTTACTATCATCAGCACGAGATATGTCCTTACTATCATCAGAACGAGATATGTCCTTACTATCATCAGAACGAGATATGTCCTTACTATCATCAGAACGAGATATGTCCTTACTATCGTCAGAACGAGTTTACTTATACAACAGACAACATTGTAGGTAATTCTGATAAAGCAGAAATTAAATTATATTATTTAGAAAAGATTAAACTTAAATACAACTACCTATGAATTACTGTAAAATAAATCCACTGTAGTGTACTTGTAATCATTTCACATCTTTTAGCCTTTATTTCTATCGCATAAAGATGTATAAGATAGACTGGATACTGAGAGCGATGAAGCAGTAATGTTGTTTTAATAGCTGGTTCACAAACCATAAATCCTATCGGATACACGTGTTTAAGTACATGTTGATGTACGTAGAAATAGACAAATATCAACACCTGTAAACATATCCAGATTTAAATTGAATATATATTGTTTAAAATGTAAGGCCGTATATCGCTGTAATAGGCTTCTTATAAACCTTGTAGCTTTAATGCTGTTCGTTATGTCCCGTTTTCTTAAGGATGCCCAACCTCCTAGTTGATCATATGTTGTACTTGTAGTACAAACATATGTTCTTGTAAGGGATGTGTTTCTCACGGACCGTATATTAACTTGTTAACTATCATTTCCCAATCTTAAATATTTGGAATACTATTTACAGCTAAGCGTATACCGTTGTAAAGTCGCCCTCAGCCATGCGCTGCGATAACCATATGTCCTGATAGAAGATCATACATTTATACATTTTCTTAATTGAATTTGCACGAGCAAACGTATGGTACTCCGAAACTAAATACAGTCATGATGTGATATTTTATGAATAAAATGATAGATAATAATTCAATTTCGATTTATTTCAAAACTTACATAATTTCTAAGAATAAAGGAATAAGCTATTGGGCTCTCGGCAATGCGATGTGATGTGAAAAGCATCACAGACAGATCGGTACCGAAGAACACTCGCAAGGATTGGATTTTCAGCGTGGTTAAAGGGAAATCTTTTTAATCATAATTAGGATCGAATGGAATGTGATCCGGATAAGTCGGTTTTGCGTTTGACACCAATGTATAACCAGGTTTTTGTTTGACACTGACTGTTATAATCTAATTTCCGGCGCGCATCATTGCAGTAAAATCGAGTGTTTGATCGGTATTTGATCGAATTATCGTTGATTACCACGATACATCACTTGTAATCGAATGTCACATGACATCAAATTTGATATCCTTGACAAGAATTGTCAAAGGAATTGACTTGTCTCATCAGGGCAATTGTAATATCTGTTATTCTCGCTATTCGTATGGATGTTTCAGTAATATACAAAGCATATAATGGCGATGTGTTTTCAATGTCTGTCTGTAGTCTGAATATGATGCCAATACATTAAAACCAAACAAGCTGTTGTTTCATCAAACGATGATAACAGCATACCAGTTTTGTGACAAAAAGCCTGCATCATCTGTACTACATGAGGTCTTTACTGACAGAACTGTATATGAATGGCGTGTATGCAAGGATTTCTAGTTGTTTTCTCGTTGTTATATTTTTGGATTGTATAGTTGTCTAAATAATTCATTATTAGTGTATATTTTCCCTACATTGTACCTCATTGTTTGTAGATTGTGAAATGTGGAACTAGTCTTGCCCTCGGGGAACCATACTTTGAATTAATCACTATTGTGATATTTTGACATGTATAGTAAAGGTGATTGTAAACGTGGGAGTACCTCTGCAGTTCTTTGTTTCATTGTCATTATATTATCCTCCCAAACTCAGGTGACATTTCATATCAGTAATGAATGCCATACTCAGTTGGTCATTAACTGAATGATCAAAGTATTGACTTGAAATGAGACATTTTGGAGGGTAGCTGGTGTTTCTGTTGTTACTATAACAAATATACACTAGAAATTAAATCAACTTTACGGTATCAACATGTAAATTGTCGTTTAATGTATAGCGTGGAATTCCATATATATATACGTATTGAAGAATAAACAAATATCCCTCTCTCTCTCTCTCTCTCTCTCTCTCTCTCTCTCTCTCTCTCTCTCTCTCTCTCTCTCGCTTTAATCATGTAGGTAAAGATGTATCTATGTTTTCTTTGATGAATCAATGTAACAAAGGTGATGCCAAGACAATACCACGTGATCTGACCTTGTGTCTGCCAATATAAACGACTTATGCAGTGTTTCCAATACCATGCTAACATCATTGAGATTGGTACTCCTGCCAAGAATGTTTATTGTAAACACTTTCAATCTGAAATTATACCAAATCAAATCACATTCAGATAGTCCTACTGTTTTTTTTTTGTTTCTGTTTTTCTTTTGTTTTTCTGTTGTTGTTTTTTTTTTTCTATTTTTTAGACCAACTGTTAACTGACCAAATTATTTTACAACACATGGTGACATATCATAAACATGTCACTTAGTCACACAGCATAAACAATTATACAAACTAAGGATAGAGCGAAATAAATCTGTTAGTAATCAACGCCTCCATAAGACTGACGGGTCGTTACTAGAGGGGTACACAAGCCGCCCTGCTGTGGTAACATATGGTGACATCTTGAGGTTTTTGGGAGAGCAGTCGTGGTTCCACAAACACGTAAACATACATGTATATTTTGTGTCAATTTGCCAAATGGAATGGTCCCAGAGACGATAGACTTTGCTTGTAAGGGACATTTTATTGTTTCATTAAAACATTATTATATGACGTCTGTACACGTTACAGAGAATTTTCGTATTTCTTATCAGAAAATAGATTTGTTGATTTATAGAAATTGTTTCAGAGAAGAATTAATCGAATGTGTTTCGGTGCTTAAAAATGAATATATTGTGTATTCAGTCTATTGTGCTTTGTATTCAATTTTCCTAACTCTGTGAAGATATGTGAATATTTGTAAATGTAGGTATTACACTATATAATTATGTTGTTTACAGATATATTTGATATAAGAAAGCAATAAAACACATAATTAGACAATTGATGCAAAGACCTAATTATTCATTACTACCATATCTAACCGAACAGAGGTAAACATTGGCCAATATCGCAATAACAACACAGAAAGGACATCATATTAACGGAATAATAAAACCAATTCTACATACCGTAGCAACATGAAAGCAAACGAAACATTTACTCTAAGACTCCTGAAAAAAGTACAAGGGGAATAAGGCCAGGTGTTCCGGAAGATTAAGCGTCTCCTAAAGCTAGGTTATTCCAAGTAAGTAATGTCACATTTCAAAACTGATATATTTTCATTATCATTAAAATCAAATTAAAGTATTCATTAACAACAAGAAAATACCAGCAGGTCAATATAATCATAATCCAAATTCATTTTCAATAAAACCAGGGCAAAATATGAACAAAGGAAAGATTTACACGGAGACGCGTGATACTCGATATCCGTAATCTTTCCAGAACATTCGATTAACAATGGGTTAATATCAATGTAAAAGACTATCAAATCCTGTATTATAATTGATTTACGGCAGGTTCAAATTGGTTTTACATTAAGGCCTATATACTAGTAAAATTGATGTATGTCTTACCATATTAAAACACTATAGGAACTCGATATGCAAGTAAGAGCGCAATATATATAGACATCAAATGCCGATACGATCAATCTGTTCGCATTGGTAACCCCTGAAGAAACGCGTATATTACGGCACTCAGTGTATCTGGTCTAGTGGTTTTATTTGTGAACCGCAATCACTTTGTGTCCTGTGTTATAAGTATGTGGAAGACCCTTTAACACAACAGGTGTTGTTACATGGAAAGTGAGAGCTCTTACCTTTTTATAGTATTAACTGACGACAACAGGTGGTTCTGTATACCGTAAATACTTATTGGCATGAACTACAGTTCAGAAGTAAACACAAATAATAATATATTACTTGTTTGAGTACGTATATATC